GGGGCGAGGGATGAGCCGGGGCGGCAGCTCCCTTCCAAACAAGGGTCACAGCCTCGTTTGCTGCGTGGACCATCGCTGAGAACTGAAGCAAGAGCGGTTCCTGAAAGGAGAGCGCTCGATCTAGTGTTTTAGTAGCTAGAGCGAGCACACCTTGGGAGACTCGGCTCTTCCCTAAAAGCGGGGGTATGAAACAGAGTCTTCTCTGGACTCTGCACAGAGACCTTCTGCTGGAGTCGAGATGGAGTCCTGGATGTGTGCTGGGGCTGAACTGAGGCCTCACTTAAGGGACTTGAGTAGCTGGGAGACCTGCCCGTAAATGTCTTGGCCACCTGTGCTGCTTTAGCACGGTCATCGCAGCGGGAAAACGGTTTTCTTAGTGCGCAAACACTCGAGACGCTGACTGCGCTTCCAGAAATTCAGGCTTCTTCCTTAGGGAGCGTAGGTCTCTCATGGCTGTCGTCTCATGCAGTTCGTTATTTTAGAAACCTGTTTGGGACTGGAAGAGTTGATAAGTTATTCATTCCAAAGTCTGGAACCTCAAGATGCTTATCCTCCCCCTGGGTAATATAATCTCAGGTCCGTTGGTGCCACTTATCAATACGTTACCAATTTGAATGTAAGGGAGAGAAGCATGTCTCAGATGAGAATTGCATTTCAAGTCTGTGTGTTTTTGTTATTCTGTGTTACACTATCCCTGGTTTTTTGTGTTTTCCAGTTTCCTACTTAAATATTATCCAAAATAGCAATACCCATGATTTGATTGAACACCTAGGGTTTTAATAAGAGGCCTGAGTTCCAGTTTTTGGTCCCACATGTTATGAGCTGTCTGATCTCGGGCAGAGTTGCTTAAGTTCTCTGGAGTCTGTTTCCCTCGTCAGAAAAATGGAAATGAGAATCCTCACCTCACAGTTGTTGGGAGGATGAAATGAAATAATGTAACTCCTGGACATAGAGCCTGACACATAGTAAGTGCTTGATTAATGTTACTTGTTGTTAAATGTTAGTGTATTGACTCAAATAGTCAAAAAAGGACCAATATTAATATATTTTATCTGATCACTTTGAAAGGAGGAAAATGCAAATTTTCATGAATTACTCGAAATGCCTAATTTTCTGAGGCCAAAAACCATGTTTTTCAAGGCTCAGTAAGAGAGTAATTATTTACCTAATCTGTCCACTTTTTTCCTGTCGGGCCAAGGGTTAAAGGAGAATTGTACTAATTGTCTTTAGCCTAAATAGCATGGTCTAGTAAAAAGACTTAACGGACTTTGAAGTCAAATGGACCTAGGAGCATTGAGCTTAGTGATGTTGCTGCCTTTTCCTCTAACCCTGTGATTGCTCAGTTGCTAAATTGAACATGAGAGCTGTCTTACTCGTAAGATTCTCTTAACAATTAGGCAGGACGGCAAGGCCAGAATCAGGACAGTAGTCTCAGAGAAGTCATGTATTTACGGTTGTCCAGCGCTTACTTAAAGGGCTTATGAAACTGCCAGTTCTAGAGCTGTAAGAGAATGATAGGGAGAATTGAATGTTGTAGCCAAATAACTATATGTATTATTTAGCTCAGAATCCCCTTACACTTTGAAAAATTACACTGCAGCTTTTGAGTGGTTACTATATGCCAAGCACTGTGTTCAGAACTGGGAATACCAATGAGAGAAAGCCCGCCCTTGCTTGCTTTGTTCTTACCGTGTGCTTCCTGGGGGAACTGAGAAACGGGCTGGATCTGTAGCTCGTTGAGTGCTGTGAGTGCGTTGGGGGTCAGGGTGGGAGGGCAGTGGTGCAGAGTGCTGTGGGAGTATGGTGGATGGCCCAGGAGCCCAGGCTTGGAGGGCTCGCGAAGGCTTCGGCAGGAAAGAGCTTCTGAGTTGAGATCTGAAATTGTCTAGAAAAAGCAGTGAGGAGAGTGTTGCAGTCAGAACAGCGAGTACAAACCTTAAACCTTTCTTACGCAAAGATCAGATTGCCCTGAAGCAGTCAGTTATTTAAAGTGGAATGAGGCAAAGCAAGTTCCTTTGTGACAGATTTAAGTTCCTTTGTGACAGATTTTGCAACTTCTTCCCCTGAAGAGTATAAAATTAAGTTTTTTAATGATTAGGTGGAAAAAAGTGTTGTCATGCTCTTTATTTACATTCTGCTGTGTTTCCGTGCTGTGCAATCAAAGCAGTTCGATGCTCTTTTAAATACAGCTATCTTTTGACTAACGGGTAAGAGTGAACTAGCAAGGCTTACTTTAAAATAGTATTGGAATTAATGAACCATTTTCCTGTTAACTTCTGATTCATTATTTTTGGAAAAATAATTTGCTTCAGAATGTGATATATATTTAAGATGACAGAAAAAAATTATTTACTCTTTAAAGCAAGTACTTTTAACATTAAATCCTAAATAATTTTTTTCACATCTCTTGATCTTTGGTCAGTCTTTCTTCCAGGAATCCTTGAAAGGTTTGGCCATGTCTTTGAAGATGAGAAGCTCATAAAGCCAAGGCCTAACCTACCTGGCCAATGAATGTTGAGCAGAGCTTGACTTTGCACCAGTTAGTGGCTTAGCTATGAGGTGACTGTTGAGATCTGATCGTATAGTTTGCTTCTTTAGATGATGGTAGCCACTTGCTTCAAGGGTAGGCTTGAGTTAGATTAAAGTAGAATTTTAAGAACTTAATCAAGTTATAATTGTTCCAGGTCAGTTTCATTCCTGTAAGATTCCACTTTATAATCAAGTTGCAGTTAAGTCCTGTTAGGTGAACTCTACCTAAAGAGGCACATTATTGATTTATTTTTTAGGTTAAATAACTCATGAGCAGTCTTCATGCTTTTCCCAAAATCTCATCCCTCAAAGTCTTTCTTCAGAAGGACAGACTTCTTTCTACAAGACACACCAGTAATAGATAAGTTTACATTTGAAATGTGCTCCAAAAGTTGTTTTTTTTGTAATTTAGACTAAGTGTTAGAGTAAATAATCAGATCTCCAAAAGATGTACCAGGTGTTCACATCAAGCCTTCTTTGCCTAAATGAGAGCACTGTTGAGATGTCCCATCTGCACGTGGTTGGCTTTTTCCTGGGCAGTGTGCTGTTGAAAGGCCATGTCAGTGAGTCAGACACACATGCTGGGAAGGTTGTGCCTTTTGACAGCATTGATATGAAAAGTGCTTTTTAAGAAGTGATGCTGCTGCTTTTCTGAACTATTGGTCTTCTGTTTTTAGTGCGTAAATTCACAGACAAACATGAATGGATAACAACAGAAAATGGTATTGGAACAGTGGGAATCAGCAATTTTGCACAGGTATTGGATTATCTTGAAATATTTACAACAGTCTGCTCTTGCCTAAATTGGATTGTCTCTACCTTTTAAAAATTGTTTATCTTGCCCCTTAGTATTTTGGGCCCTTTTTAAAGGCCTTTAGAACATCATCAGTCATAGGTAAAACAAGTAAAACAATTTCGTTAGAGCTGTAAATAGTGTTTTAAGAGATACTGAAAGGTTAACACTTAAAAGCAGAAAACATACCTTATTTAAGAAAGAAATATGTTTGTTTCATATTGAGGCAGTTAAGGAAAAGCAGAAAAAGAACAAGCAAAGAGGCTGGAGTGTTGACAGTGTTTTGTGGATACAGTGATATACACATGATCAGGGGAACATGAAGAAGAGGGTAGACCTGGATTGGCACACATTGTGCAAAGGGAAACCTTTTAGTTAGCCTATCTTTTTCTCCATTAATTCCCCTATTCCCAATGATCTCATATTGAGATGTTGTGTAAAAGAAATTGAGAAGCCGGATAGCAGCATGGGTCAGTGATTTTCAGCTGGATCTGTGGGGAGGGTGGGGCAGGAGGGAGAAAGGATGTTACCTGGCGGGAGTATATACTGTTGTTCAGAAATGTTGGAGTCTCAGATATTGAGAATCACTGACAACTGTATCTTCACTGGCATATCTGTGTACCTACTGAGGCCCAGTACAGGGTGCTTTGTGAAATACTGTAAGTGTTGTCCTCTCCTCCTGGAGTTTTATCTATGAGGGGAATTACCTACATGGAAAACAACATACAACAGGTTATATGATGGATGACCTGAATGGTACATGTGGTTGTAACCCACTCTTCTGATACAGTGATGACTTTTTTTTTTTTTTTTTTTAAGGAAGACTAGCCCTGAGCTAACATCTGCCAATCCTCCTCTTTTTGCTGAGGAAAACTGGCCCTGAGCTAACATCTGTGTCCATCTTCCTCTACTTTATATGTGGGACGCCTACCACAGCATGGCGTGCCAAGCAGTGCCATGTCCTCACCCGGGATCCAAACCACTGAACCCCGGGCCGCTCAGGTGGAACGTGCACACTTAACCACTGCGCCCCCGGGCCGGCCCCCAGTGATCACTTCTTATTGGAGTTAAGGTTTTCAGGGAGTACAAGGCATGAGGACTGATTTGCTGAGTCAGTGGGTAGGATTTCAGCAAATGCAGTAGGGGAAACGGCCTAGGTAAAACTGTAGAGATGGAAAGGCACAAAGTGTGTTTGTTCTCAGAGGAACTAGTAATCTTTTTTGAGGCATATGGTTTGTGATGGGTCACTACTGCCTGTGGGAAATCCAGCTGGTGGCCTGTTTTCTTGCAGGTCCTGAGCCAAGAATAGTTTTGTGTTTTTAAAGGTTTGTAAGAAACACCAAAGAATGTGGCCCCTCAAGTGTAAAATATGTACTATGTGAATAATAGGGAATTCAGTGTTTGTGGCTTGTTCCTATTTACTAGGAGATTTAACTTGATTTCTTAGAGGTTTGTTTGTTTTTTAGGAAGCTTTGGGAGATGTTGTTTACTGTAGTCTGCCTGAAGTTGGGACAAAATTGAACAAACAAGGTGAGTATTTTTCTCATCTTGCTATGTCATGATTCATGCCATGAATTTTCTTTACCTGATCTTTACCTTGAATAACAACTTGTTTGGACGCAGGATCAGTTAGAGAGCTTTTTAGTCAAGGAACGGAAAACTCCAGTGAAAGGAGATTAAACAGTAGAGGTTTCTCCTATCTCATACAGGCGGTCTGCAGATAGGTGGATGCCAGATTGGCTCGTGGGTCAGTGAAGGTCATCAAGGACGTGACTTCTTTTGTAATTTTTCTGCCTCAGTGTGTCAGAGGTTGCAAAATCCTCAGGCATCACATTCTCAAATGACAATATCCAAAAGTAGGAAGAGAAGAACAGGCTCTCTTTTTGTCTCTTTATCAGGAAAGAACATCTCAGCCAGAAATCTCTCAACACACAGTTTTCTTGTATCTCGTTAGCCTGGTCTGGGTTGTACTGCCACCCCCAGCTGTAAGGGATGACAGAAAGGAGAATAACGGACATTTTCAGACTTTGTAATGGAAGGTGAGACACAGTAGAGGGGCATGGCTCTCAGCACCCTCCCCACCTCCACACACACACATTGAGGCAGTGTAATGTAGCTGGTCTGTTAACTTTAAAAAGAACAATCTGCTTTTCTCTGGAGGCAGTAAAGAATGTCAGGAAAGAACATGGACTCCAGAGTCAGAACCTGGTTTTAAATCCTGGCCCCACAATCTATCAGTTGTGTGATTCGGGGGAAATTACTTAATTTAGGTTTCATCTATAAGTTAGGATAATAATAATACCTACCTCAGAGAGTTGCTAAAAGGATTAAATGAAATTAGCATAGTCTGGCATAAGATAACTAGATAAATGTTAGCTAGTAGTACCACATACATTATTCATGAGTTCCTTGACATGTATAAGACAGCCCTACAGAATTTAAGTGTCTGTGTTCTAAATATCCTTGACAGTATTGGCTATGGCTTTTTCTGTTTAAAGTTTCCCTATCATTTATCTTGTTTGAACTTTTTCCACTTCCTGGCTCTCAACATCCTGGTTGGCCATTAGATAATATAGGTCATCATATTCCTCTTTTGAAGGTCTTCCTAGAAACCTTTTCTGATGTCATAGTAAGACCACTGTTGCGATTGATAATCTCTGTCTGTTTTTCTTTTTTCTGTACACCCGAGCACAGTTCTTGTTCTCTTTTCTCATGTTGTTTTATTTACCGTGTACCCACTCTGCACGCCAGCCCTCGTGGTCTCGTGGTTAAGATTTGCTGGCCCAGGTTCGTTTCCTGGACAGGGAAACACACCACCCATCTGTCATACTGTAGCAGCCGTGTGTTGCTGTCATGCTGAAAGCTATGCCACCAATATTTCAAATACCAGCAGGGTCACCCATGGTGGACAGATTTCAGTGGAGCTTCCAGACTACTCGGACTAGGAAGAAATACCTGGCCACCTGCTTCTTAAAAAATTGTCCATGAAAACCCTATGAATAGCAGCAGAGCGTTGTCTGATACATTGCCGGAAGATGAGAGGATGGGGCAAAAAAGACCAGGCAGGGTTCCGCTCTGCTGCACACAGGGTCAGAATTGACTTGACAGTACTAACACCAAATTTTGTGAATGTTTTGTCATGATTTGTGGTTTTGCCTTTTCATTTTTTTAACAGCTTTTTGCTGAGAAACACTTAATTTTTAACAAGTCTAAGTTTTTTTTTCTTTTTTTTTTAATGTATAGAACATTGTATATTCTCTAAGAAATCTTTCTCTGTCTCCATGGTTCCCAAACTGTATAATCCAGTGCCATGGCATGCTCTGAGAGATTTTAAATTTTCAGTATCTGTTGGATACTGCACAAACTAATAGCTTAATGGAGTTAACAGTTTCAATATTAGATTTCTGTATATTACTTTGGGAAATATATCTATGAAGCAAGTGCTGCACAAAAATCAGTGTGGAACATCAAATAGGGCAGTGGATGCTGTTCAGTCGGATTCTCTCATGAAGAATTTGTACAGTACACAACAGACACACACATATCAGTAAATAGCTATAGTTAAGAAGGAAAATTTTTTTCAATGTATGTGTATTAATTTTTCAAACAGCTACTCAATTGTTAGAATGTAAACACTTACTAAGTAGTTTGGACCTAACCTCTTAATAAATTGAACTGTTAGGTATTTGTTTTGGTCTACAGATCCCCATAAAAAGTTACTGAGACACTAAGGGCACCGGGAACCAAGAAAGTTTGAGCAACACTGGCCCATACCAAGTTCCCAAAGATATTCTCCATGTCTTTTGAAACTTCATATAGTTTCAGCTTTCATGTTGAGGCCTTATTAAATTCACTGATTCTAATAGTTTTGTAGATTCCTTTGGATCTTCTGTGTAAACAATAATGTAGCTTATAAAGAGGTTTATTTCTTCCTTTCAATCTTTATGCATTTTCTTTCTTTTCCTTGCCTTATTGCACTGGCTGGCCAAGGCCCTCAGTATAATGTTGAATAGAAGTGGTGAGAGTAGACATCATTGCCTTGTTCCCGATCTCGGAGATCATCTAGGCATGACATTCAGCTGTGGAGTTTTTCATAGATGCCCATTATCAGACAAAGAGGTTTCTTTCTGTATCTGGTTTGTTGAGAGTCATCATTCATGCATGTAGAATTTTGTCAAATTTATTTTCTCCGTCGATTGACATGATCATAGGAGTTTTCTCCTTTATTCTGTCAACGTGATGGGTAAGATTGATTTATTTTTGAATGTATAACCAACTTTGCATTCCTGGTAGTCATGATGCAAAAATTATCTTTTTAAAAATACATTGCTGGGCTGGTCTGGTGGTGCAGCAGTTAAGTTCGCACGTTCCGCTTCGGCAGCCCAGAGTTCAACGGTTTGGATCCCGGGTGCTGACATGGCACTGCTTGGCAAGCCATGCTGTCGTAGGTGTCCCACATATAAACGAAGATGGGTACGGATGTTAGCTCAGGGCCCGTCTTCCTCAGCGAAAAGAGGAGGATTGGTGGTGGATGTTAGCTGAGGGCTAATCTTCCTCAAAAAAAAAAAAAAATACATTGCTTGGGGGCCGGCCCGAAGGCACAGCGGTTAAGCGGGCACATTCCACTTAGGCGGCCCAGGATTCGCTGGTTTGGATCCCAGGTGCGGACGTGGTACCACTTGGTGAGCCATGCTGTGGTAGGTGTCCCACATATAAGGTAGAGGAAGATGGACACGGATGTTAGCTCAGGGCCAGTCTTCCTCAGCAAAAAGAGGAAGATTGGCAGCAGATGTTAGCTCAGGGCTAATCTTCCTAAAAAAAAAAGATACATTGCTTGATTTGATTTGATAATGATTTTTTGCATTGTGTTCATGAGAGATACTGTTTTTTTCTTATAATGGCTTTGTCATATTTTGAAATCAGTTATTTTGGCCTCAGAATAAGTTTTGAAATGTTCCCACCTCCTCTCTCTGAAAGAATGTGCAGAATTGTTATTTCTTCCTCAAATGTTTGATAGAATTAACCAGTGAAGTCTGGGCCAGGAGATTCTTTGTGTGAAGGTTTCTGATAGAAATTTAGTTTCTTTAGTAGATATGAGGCTATTCAGATTTTCTGTGTTATCTTGGTTTTGTTAATTATGTTTTTTGAGGAATTTTTCCATTTCATGCTGTCAAATTCAGCATGAAGATGCCCATATTTTTTATCTTTTTATATCCATAGGATCTTCATATTTATGGTAATTTGTTTTCCCTTTTTTTCTTGATCAGTCTTCCTAGCTATTTATCAATTTTATTAATCTTTTCAAAGAACCAAATTTTCAGTGTGTTAATTTCTCTATTTTGTTTCATTAGTACTGCTCATATCTTTTCTTCCTTCAGCTTATTTAGATTTAATTTGCTCTTCTTTTTCTAGCTTCTTAAGGTGGAAACTTGAGGTTTTATTTAGTAAGCACTTTTTTACTTGACTTTAAATTCATACTATAAAACGCTGTCTGCTTTGTGGTGGGTGGCAGCCGTAATCTTAGTTTAATTCTTTTAGCCTTAGCTGGGACACTTCAAGTCTGCCCTGTGCATGCATGCTTCAGAGACCTGGGCAGAGTTTATGCACAGAATTTGGGACTTTCCCTGTTAGTCTCTCTCCTTCTTGGGATTTCCCACCTCACTTTCCAGTAGTTTTGGTGGCCCCAAACTCTTGGCTTCTGGTCCTTTAAGCCAGTAAGGCTGAGATTTTCTTTCAGAATTTTGGCTGCCCTGCATGGCACAGATTGGTGTCTTCACAGGCTGAAAGCCATTAAAAGAAAACAATCACCAGTATCATCCCTTTTTTCAAGTGTTACCTCCTCTATATAAACTGACTGCTTTTGTGCCTAGTGTGGTGTCTTTAAAACCCAAGTCATTGATTGTAAGATTTTTTTTTTTTGAGGAAGATTGTCACTGAGCTAACATCTGTGGCAGTCTTCCTCTATTTTGTATATGGGATGCTGCCACAGCATGGCTTGATGATTGGTGTGTAGGTCTGCACCCAGGATCTGACCCTGCGAACCCTGGGCTGCTGAAGCGGACATGTGAACTTAACCACTACGCCACTGGGATGGCCCCAAGGTGTTCTTTTTAAATAAGCTAAAGATATTAATTTCCTTCTAAGCAATATTTAGCTTTCTCCCGCAAATTTTGGTATGTTGTATTCTCATTCCCATTGAGTTCCGATCACTTGATGTTATCCTGTATGTAACTAAGGCTCTGTTAATCTTTCAGTGTTGTTATTTTAACTCTGTTCTTTAGGTTGGTCAAGTTCACGTTCTTTCTTCCGCTGCATCCAGTCTGTTGTTAATGCCATCCAGTGAATTTTTTATTTTAGATACTATATTTCCAGTTCTAAAATGTCCCTTTTTAAAATTTCCATTTCTCTGCAAGTATTCCCCCATATATTCACACATTATGATGATCTTTTTTTTAAGTCTTTGAACATATTTATAATAGCTGCTTTAAGGTTCTCTGCTCATTCTAACATGTGGGTCTGTGGGTCATATTGGGATCTTTCTGTTGACTATGTTTTCTCTTCACCACGGCTACCTTCTTTCTAGCATTTGACCCCTCAATTTCCAGCCCCCTTGGCAGCCACACACTCCATCCTGACCCCTGAACCAACAAACTGGTTTTCTACTTGTGTTGTAGTTACAGTGTGCTCTTTGGATGGGTCAGTGTGGTAGGGTACAAATTGTATAAATGAAGATCTCACCCAGTTTGGGTCCCTTCTTTCAAGGATTCGCTCCCTTTTTGGTCACTCTACGGAACCTTCATATAATTGTCTTTTATGTTTTGTTCAGAGTTTATAATTGTTATCTGCAGGAAGCTTGGTCTGTTAGGAGGTACTTTACCAAGACTGGAATCTCCTAAAATTTTCATTTTGTTTTTTCGGAGCCATAGTAAACTGAAAGAGTTTTACTGAACTGAAGCACAGCTAGTATTCAGATACGTCACCATTATGTCACTTCTGTCCAGAACAGACAGGTCCACTTCATCAAGGTTATTTACTGGCCTTCTCATAGGCGATAGCATGACAAAATCTATGGTTTTATTTTTAAAGATATTTAGAATTTTTTATCATGATTGTATTAGAGGTGACCACTTCATATTTTGTATTTTCAGATCACTAACTTTGACATTTAATAATTTTCTTTAATTTTCTTAATTTAGATGAGTTTGGTGCTTTGGAAAGTGTAAAAGCTGCTAGTGAACTCTATTCTCCTCTATCAGGAGAAGTAACTGAAATTAATGAAGCTCTTGCAGAAAATCCAGGACTTGTCAACAAATCTTGTTATGAAGACGGTAAGTTGTTGCTAGAAATTTTCAAAGGATTATTGCTGCAGTTAACGTTTAATGTAGAATTTAAAGCAAGCTTTAGCTGATTGTGACTTCATCCTTTTGCACTTCTTGGTACTAAATAGAGATGTTCTGCTTTGAAAAAGGAAAACATAGAGTAGCTGAATAATCTTATGTTTAAGATCTCTGTTGATGAAAGCACTGCTTTATATTACAGAGTTCTTAGTATCATAGTTGTGGACTCATCGTAAACACTTGCAAATATTTACCTCTTCAGACATAAAGCATCCAATCATATTGCGTAATGAAGGTGGTAATAGAATAACACTTATTGTATTAATTTTCAGTTTTCTCACATTTTCATCTTCATAATAACCCAGTGAGGTAAGGAACCAGCAATTCTCTCCATTTTGTAGATAAATTTAGGCTCCAAAGGATTTATCTGTTAAGGTCATACAGCCAATAAATGGCAAAATGAGGATTGGGTTGTAGTTTTCTGTTGTCTGTCACCTAGTCCTTCTGACTCTCTACTACTACTCCCTACTCCCTTAACTTCAGTCGCCACAAAGTGGTGCTCCTTTTGTTAAAGAAAGATACGCTGCGTCTTGTATATTTGGGTCCCTGTGTAAAGTCTTCAGTGTCAGTTCTCGATGCTTATTACAGCCTAAGAGTTCTTAATCCATTACTGTAGGATCTGTTTATTCTAAGTTTTTCACTTGTGATATGCAAAGATACTAATTTAATTCTTAAGGCTAAAATTTAAAGCTCCTTGAACAAATAATGAGTGATTTATGTGAAGAATACTAGATTAATTTTGAGGCACTCGAAAATTTATTTTATATTTTCAATGAATTTGACTTTTTCCTCTTTAAAAGGTAATTAGAATATAAAATACTTTTTTTTTTCCTGTTACAGGTTGGCTGATCAAGATGACGCTGAGTAACCCTTCAGAACTAGATGAACTAATGAGTGAAGAGGCATATGAGAAATACATAAAATCTATTGAGGAGTGAAAATGGAACCCCTAAATAAACTAGTATGAAACAACTTAATCTAGCATAGTTGTCTTAAATTAGTGGTGGATAGATTTAAAATAGCAACTTTTAGCAATATCAATGGAAAAAGAAACTTCTTACAACCATGCTACTGGAAGAAAATACCCCTTAACTTTTTAATGATTGCAGATAAACACAATATGCATGTTTTTTCACAATACCTTATGATTTTTAGGCTAGGCTCCAGTTATAATATTCCAAATTTCTGAAATTACCTGTGGTAAAAAGTAGTTATAAAAATCATGTAATTCAAGGATAATATTGTTATCTTAAGCCTTATATAATATTGTAACTTGCTTACATCCCTCTCTGGATTTGGGTCAAAATACTTAATGATCTTTCCTTTGGGAATAACTGGGAATGGAGAAGAGTTTTGTTAGTTGTACAGTGTCAGATGAATAACAGTACTATCTTAATTTTGCCATATACTGTGTTTGCTGGTGCTATTTTTATACAGTGAAGCAACAGCCTTGCAGGAAAATAAGAAACAGTTTAATAATAAAACATTCAACTTCATTAATCATGGTTTTGTTTTGCTGTAAATATTTCATTTAGTGACTCTGCTAGTATTTGTGAAGATGCTAATTTTGTTTGTTTGTTTTTTTAGGAAGATCGGCCTTGAGTTAACATCTGTTGCCAATGTCACTTTTTTTTTTTTTTCCCCTCCCCAAAGCCCCAGTACCTGGTTGTATATCCTAATTGTAAGTCATTCTAGTTCTTCTCTGTGGGATGCCACCACAGCATAGCTTGATGAGCCATGTGTAAGTCCACGCCCAGGATCCAAACTGGTGAACCCTGGGTCGCCAAAGCGGAGTGTGCAAACTTAACCACTCAGCCATGGGGCTGGCCCAGCTAATTTTAACTTATAGAAAGTTATTATTGTTGTTCTTTTTTTGCTAAGGAAGATTCACGCTGAGCTAAACATCTGTGCCATTCTTCCTCTGTTTTGTATGTGGGTTGCCGCCACAGCATGGCTGCTGATGAGTAGTGTAGGTGTGTATGCAGGAACTGAACCTGGGCTGCTGAAGTGGAGCGCCCCAAACTTAACCAGTAGGCCACGGGCCTGGACCCGGAAGTTATTTTTTAAAAGGAAATTTAAGCCACAACAATGAAAGGTTCCAAGAAAATGTTTCCTTGTGTCACGCATCTGGTTTTTCTTAAGATCTAATTACCTGATAGCATAAAGCACTGTCGTCTTTAATATAATATAAAAGAAATAACTGACTTGCTTTTTTATCATGCTAAGTTAGAGAGAAGGAAGAACAAGGAAAGGTGAAAGTTTGATCAGCGTATAGCACATGCATCCTTAAGAAAGTTGAAACACATTCAGACTTCCACTTGAGTAATGGGAATAGAAGTGAACACAGTGAAACTTTATGAGCTCAGACGCTGACTTAGTGAATATTCTTTGAAGCTTAAGCATATTCAGAGTGCCAAATGGTATTTTTAAGTGGCCAATATAGCATACTCTCTAATTAAGCCAACTGTAGTATGGTGATATTTTGAGGGGTGATATTATATATACATATATAAATAAGTATAAATATATATACACACACAGCAAAAACAGACAAGCTCCTCTATCATTTTCCCAGTTACTACAGGAAAAGGGAAGTATTCAGACACTACCAGCTTCTGATAGTGAAGAAACAGCAAATAAGAGAACCTATTTCTACTTTGGAAATAAAAAGGGATGAGTAATAATTACATAGATTTACTCTTGGTCTGAAAGTACTCTCATATGACCTTCTTTGATCTTCACAACAATAGCCAGAGCTAGGTACATATCTATAACTACCAGCATTTCAAAGATAGGAAAAGTAATGGAGAGAATAAGAAATTGTTAAAGAGCAAGACAGTCATGGTTAGAATTTTCACATTTCCTGGTCTACTCTTCGTCAGTTCCTTAGCAGATATTACTATAAAAAATATTAAAATATTTAGGGTCTGGCTCGGTGGTGTGGTGGTTAAGTTTGCACCGTCCACTTGGGCGGCCTGGGGTTCGTGGGTTTGGGTCCCAGGCACGGACCTCCACACTGCTCATCAGGCCATGCTGTGGCAACGTCCCACATATAAAATAGAGGCAGACTGGCAACAGATGTCAGCTCAGGGCAACCTTCTTCATACACTCACACAAACACCCTAAAATATTTAAGTGGGAATCTTGGAGGTGGAGAGGATGAATGTTCTAAAGGTGGGAAGCAGAAATGGCCATTCTAGAGTGAAAGTACATCGGTGACTAGTGTGAAAGAGACGGGCAGTTTTTTTATTCTCCCGTTTCCCAAAGACACGCGCACACACACTTGCTCTGTTATATCCACCGTTTTTTCAAAGAACAAAATATGGCAGTCATTTCAACCCTCATTTCTATTCTAGTGCTGCCAAAAACAATAGACATTGAATGGCCTTGGACTAAATAAACAGAATTTAATTTCTCAGACCTCATATTCCTTTTGAATGGTTTTGGTCTTAATAGAGCAGCTTAACAAGGGTTTTGAATGACACTTTCTAATAATTAAAACTCAAGAAATGGAACAGGTTACCCTGGAAGTGTTAAACATTTTTTTATATCACCTCCCAGGTAGCTTAAAGAAGTTGACCATTAAGTTTTCACAAACCACTAGAGGGCTCTGCATAGGCATGCTACTGTGAAAATGAGGCTGCTATTTCAGATCAACTCTTCAGCAGCAAAATTCCTAAATTTCTGCGGTTTTCTGAGGCTGCTGAAATGTCAGAGTACTATGCACCTTTAGTTTAAAAAATTCTGCTAATTATAATTGTACCCTCATTACTATCAACAATCACTGTTGTTTCAGACCTAATCACACACCTGCGTTCCTCAGAGAGGGCCCTCACTACACCGAGGTTAGAGAGATTTTTTTCCTTCCCTGCAGCTTGGCTTTACCACTGACCACCTACCTCCATCGGTCTTGGGGTATTTTCCCCCTTTTAAATAGAGTACTTTTTAGAGCAGAGCAGATTCAGGTTTAAAGTGAGCAGAAAGTACAGTTTCCATAGACGTCCTGCCCATCTTTCTGTTTCTGAAACACCCCTTTGCAAATTCGAAGATCCTACTCTTCCAGAGCTCCTGAGATCGTGACTCAGCCTCTCTACTGGCTTCTTGAGGTTCAGCGCATGCTCGTTGGTACCGCCAAGTGGATTCAAACTGCTATCTGCTCAAGTGAGCAGGTGCCGAAAATAAAAGACCAACAAATTCTACGGAGTTTTTGGCCTGCATCACCCTAACACACTCGCTCTCATGGGGAAGGGACGCTTAGGGCGACAGGTGGCAAAGTCGGGACATTTCTGGTGGTCTGGCAGCTCGTGGGTGGAGGTCGGGGATGCGCAGTGCGCAGCTCTCCCCCCGCCCCCTAGAACCATCGGCCCACGGGCAACAGTGCGGAGGGTGAAGGCCCTGGGTCTGGCTTTCTAATCCCAGAGCCCGGCGGGGAGCCAGCGTCTCCGTCTACTTCCCCGGCCGGCGCGAACCGCTGCCTCTTCCTCGCAGTGCGGCCCGGACGCCCGCAGCGGGCGGCGGGCTCCTCGCTCCTCACGCGCGGCTGACAGGGCCGCGCGCAGCTTGCCGGGAGCACACACCCACCGACCGACGTCCGTCAGCGTCGCCTCCCGCGCTCAGCTTTGTTGCGCGGGGTGGGCCCTACGTCGCTTCCGCCGCGCACCGCCCCCTCGCCGGCCCGCCCCCAGCGCGTCCGTAACCAGGGGCAACTGTCGCCCTCGATCGCCGGCGGGGACTACGTTGTCCCGGGCCTTCCACCCCGCTGGCCCCACAGGGAGGGTGTGAGCGGCCGCGGCCGCTTCCCGGCCTCCGGGGCAAGGCCCCAGACCACAGCACGGGCGGCAGAGCCAGAGGCCCTGCCCAGTGCGAAAGGAAGCTGCCCTCCGAGGCGGGGAGGTCAGAGGAAGAGGTAGTGCGGGCCTGGGCGAGAATAAGAGAGGGCGGGACCCGGCTAGGAGCCGCGCGGAGTGGGTGGGGCAGTGGGAGGAGCCGAGGGAGGAAGGGCGGGGCCTGTGGGCAAGTGGGGACGTCTTGCTGGAGGGGACAGCTCTCGAAAGACGGGAAGGCGTCTTTTGTGGCGCGGTAGGAACTGCTGGAGGAAGGGGAGGAGCCAGATGAGGAAGAAAGAGGGATCACGGGAGAAGGGGCGGAGCCTGGGGTGAGGGGCGGGGCCATTAGGGGGAGGGAGGGGCCAAGTGTGAGTACCCGGGCGTCAGGAGCGACAGGTGGAGTGTGTTCGATGACTTGTACTTTTGCGTAGAGCGTAAGCTGTGTGAGCTGGGATGACGGGCGTTGCTTTACCATTTTATTCCCAGGGCTAGTCATCTAATACGCACTTAGTGAGTGAATGAGTGCGAGTGGAAAAAGCAGAAGAGTTGGAGTCTGGGATTGGAGTAGGAATGGCCTGATCGGGAGGGATGGTTCGTGTAGAAACCGGCTCCTAGGAATCAGTCTCTGAGTAATCAAAGCCGCTGTGCTCTTTGGGCGTTAATAAGCATGAGGCACAGATAACTAACATGGGGAGATAAGATTTATACTCTTGAATGTGTGAACAATTGTGCAAGTTGAGTGCTGCATATGCTTAACTTTGAGATAAAGGTTCAACTCTCTGCGGAGTTGTGTTCCAAACTGTAAATTAGATTGGAATCCCAATGTAATTTTCCTTTAGAAACTATATTATCGGTGATGAGCATGCCCAGGCCAATCTTCAAGACCTATTTAACCAGTTCATATGCGTGAAGCTTAGCTCTGTATTAAGAAACAATTTCCACCATGGCTAACGTTTCTATTCATTGATTTCTTTGCTCAACACATGTTGATAAGGATCTACAGAAACATCCATTCAGAATTCCAAGTGAGGCTGCCAAAAACTCATCTTTCCCTGGCTGAAATTCTGACGTAGATTCCAGATTCCTTTAAACCTGAGACTTCCAGGAAGGTGGGAGTAGGTGGAGGGGGATGCTGTAGAGCCAAGGAGGTGGTAAGGCGTTTTGAGGGAGTGTAGCCTGCTTTTGACTTAAACACTCTGTGTTTTTCACCTCTCCTGGTCCATCAGCATGGCCCCCACCATTAACTGATTAGGAATGTGCCAAGGAGGTGTAGGAATCTAGGGTAAGGCATTTGTAGTCTGACTATATAGACAGGCAATGGCCAACATGTGCTACCACTGTTCCTTCTTTATTCTCTGGCAGACATCCTTAATCAATCACAGAACTTTCTCCTGTGGTAGCCAAGTTTTAAGATCCTTCTCAACACAATGCTCTAGGTAACCACTACTTGTTTGGAACTGACAATTTGGAACCCATTCTTCCTCCCTAATATTGACAATGAATATTTTAAAAGTTAATAGACATCAGTGTAAATGTAAACTTCCATAACTTGTGGTAAGATTCCTTTTTGTTTTCATTACGATTACCTAAATTGACAGATCAGGAATCCCATAAGTGAGATTTAGAAATGTAGGCCAGATAATTGTATAGCGAGGTGAATTTGCAGCTGGTTAGATAATTAGTAAACACTCAAGTACAAGGGCTATCTGCAGGGCACTGTCCTTTACCCTCTTCTTGCCAACGTTTATATCAATGAGTTTAGATGTAGTTACAGAAGGTATGTCCATTGAATTAATAGATTCTTAAAGTGGGAAGAAATGGCCAAACCAAAGGATGTCAGATTCAGACTCATCTAAGCACTTTGGGATGTTGGTCCAAAACCCATAAGAGGAAATTTTAGAAGGATCTGATACATTTGGGTGTCTACATCTAGCTAAAAAGAAGAAGAAAAAAGAAAAAAAAATTAAGGAAATTAATACAATGGCTATGGAGTCAAGAAGACAAGGAATTATTAACAATTCATGTGAAAAAAATCTAGAAGTTGTAGTTGACATCAAGCTCAGTGTTAATCAAGATTGGGATATAGCTTTAATAGCAATGTTTGTTGACTTAATAGGTATACATTTCAGGTCAAAGGGAGTCAGATTTCAAAATAGACACTTCTAGCCAGACCACATTTGAAGTATTGCCCTCATTTCCAGGTACTACATTTTAAAGACAAGCAACTGTGTGTTCTCACGATGAGGGAATTTGAGATTCTTATCTGAAGAAATTATAGCCATTTTCAGGATTATTGTGTGTTGCTTTTGGGAGGAACACCAGGAACTGAAGAGTAAAATTTGCAGGTTTGCTGATGTCTTGATTTGAGAACATTCTAATCTTTAAAGGTGCCACTGGAATGAAAAAAGTAGCTTATGAAGTAATGAGCTCTCAGTTATTAAAAATACTTCAGAAATATTTAAGCCAAATTAATATTGTATTAGTTTTCTGTTTATGCTGTGTTCTTTCTTTAGGATCTCACAAGGCTGAAATTGAGGTGTCACCAGCCTGGACTCTTGTCTGGAGGGTCCAGGAAGAATCCTCTTCCAAGATCTTTCATATTGTTGGCTTGTTCAGTTTCCTGTGGTTGTAGGACTGAGGTCCCCATTTAATTCCTGTCAGCCAGGGGCTGCTCGCAGCCTCTAAATTCTACCCCATTCCTTGACATGTGACCGCCGCCTCCTTCAAAGCCAGTAACCTGCCTCAGATTCCTCTCCTGCCTTGAATCTGACTTCTGCTGCTGCGGCCAGCCAGAGAGCACTCTCTGCTTTAACGGGCTCTTACATCAGATTATGCCCACCCAGATAATCCAAAATAATCTCTCTGTCTTCAAGTCAGCTGAGTAGTACCATGGTTACATCTGCAAAGTCCCTTTTGCCATGTAATGTAACAGTCACGGACGTTATATCTCATCATGTTCATAGTCCCAGGGATCAGGGTGGGAAATCTTGTGGAGAGAGGATTTGTAGAATTCACTTTACCACATTATCTTTCAGGAGTATTGTAGAAGAATTATTGCAACAGGTATTTTTTTAACCCGTTTTTCTCTATAAACTTATATGCTATTAATTCTACCTCTAATTAGAGTTTTCTCTTTCAATGACTCAGGCATACTCTTCCATAGACATGGAGCTTGTACTCCTGATCCTTTCAGTCTTTTCATCTTTTACTCTGATTTTAGGATACACACCAACCTGGCTTTGCACAGTAGAACACTTATAGACATCTGTTCCTTTCTGTAGTGCTAATGTGCTTTATTTTTAATATTTTCCCACAGCAAAACTACACATTTATTTTCCTTCCTTACCTGAAGCTAGTTCTCTTTTGCTAGCATCGTGTTGTTTCATATACAATAGCTATAATTTAGAGGACTAAATAGCTCTCTAGTCCCTTTAATATGTAACTCTTCATCCAGTTACTTAAAAAATTATGTTGTAGCTAGTTTCTTCTTTTGCTTCAGGTGTGACGGTAAATGAATAAACTCTAGAGTCAGGAAGATCTGGCCTCGTCATCTCAGCTCCGACACTAACAACCTCAGTGACAGTGGTCATCAGGAAAGGACAGGCTCTGCTGCAGTAACACCAGACACTAAAATCTCAATGGCTTAACTCAGGAAGTTTTTTGTGCTTTGTGCACAGTCTGACAAGGACTGATGAGGGCTTGCCTCAAAGCTGTGTCTCAGGATCCAGGCTTCCTACGTTTTGTCATCCTACCAACTCAGCTTGTGACTTCCAAGGTCACAGTGGGAGGAGAAGAGAGAACTGGAGGGGCACATAACCTGTTAACTGCCTCATCCGGGGAGTGATTCTCATCAGTTCCGCTCGTTCTGCTGGCTAGACTGGTCACAAGGCTCTAACCCATCTGCAAGGGAGGCTGCAATGGAGGGAAGGACAGTGGCTTTTTGGGGAGCACTAGCTTTCTCTCTCACAGTGATGTTGAAAAGATTCCGAACCTTCCCGCGTATGTTTCCTCACTTATAAAATGGTACTGATACCAGTAGATATGAGTTATTCTCTTTCAGAGGTTCAGTGTAGGTACCAGTTGTACATATATATTGACTTTTATTTTCCCAACATTTATATATGAATTGAAACGAGTGTTTCTTGTATTTGTCTTTGTCTTGGAGATGTTCATTTCCAATATAATGACTTCTAGTCCCTTCCAGCTATTATATTCTCTTCCAACCTTGACCACAGACAGTTGGTGGCTCTTACTGATTAGTATAAACCTGCCACATTTGCCTGAGCCATTTTGAGCTGCCCCTTCCCACCCAGAGTGAAGCTTTCACACTGAATGAACTGTGATCTCTAATAAGGAATAGTCATGTCAGGGACCAGGTATAGATGTCCCTTTCTCCCTTCTCACTGGGGCTAGACGGAGTCTCACAAGGCCGGAATAAATATAACCCCCCATACAGCTGCTTTCTGACTTGTATTGGATTCCCAGGAACAAGTATTTCCACACGATATAGTGAAGAAAAGCATGCGTGGACTTTGGAGTCAGAAAAAATGGTGGTTTCAAAACATGTCTGCAGATTCATTGATTCTTCTCCCATAGAGAAGCAGGGCATGCGTCTCCTCCGCTGGAGTGTGGGCTGACCTTAGTGGCTGGTGAACCAACGGAATCCAGCAAAAGTGAAACTATGTGACTTCTAAGGCCAGGTTGTAAAAGGCAATTCAGGCTGTTCTAATATGGTAATGGTTCTGATATGGCTCTCATATGATAATGATATCAGGCATTTGGTAAGTGTTAGTTGTCCTTCTTTTCTTCAAGCTTATCTTTTTTTAACTCAGTTTCCTCAGAAATGAGACTGAACTCTGAGATGCTATGGCAGCCTAGCATCTCTGAATGCACTTACTGCATTTTGGTCATATATACCATATTATGAGTACCCTCCTTAAAGTAGAACAGAAAACTCATGGCCTCTGTACTACTTTGTGACAAGGATTCTGGCATGGGACCTAGGTTCCACCAATTACACATACCCTCCCAATACATGCATTGAGCAGTGAATAACAGGAAGAAATGGTCGTTTGCAATG